GCGGTGTTTAGGGTGTGGTGGCTGGAGTCTTGGGGCCAGGAGCCAATGTTTGGAGAGCGCGTGAACGCCATCTAACAGTGCTGTGTCGGCACACAAAATATGGGGCAGCACAATAAACCATGATCAGCACCCCAAGGTGCTGCGGCACCACACAACAAATCGTTGAATTAGATCATTTGCTTAGTTTCTGTCGATCTACACAACCGAGGATCCCGTCAGCTATTTCAACCAATAAAACCTAGTTTATGGGACGACCTCATGCGCCGCAGACAGAATCAATTTTAGCCAACCAGCGGTCCCTGCATGCTACCAAAACCACTTTCATTTTAGCCAACCAGCACTCACCCACGGCACTTGTCACACGCTCAGATTTGTGTATTGCGAGACGGCACCCATTGCTCCAAAATCCATGCGAGGAAAAATGCTGAGGCGCGTACCTTGGTGGGAGCTTGCACTACACGTCAATGAGGCCAACACGGACGCGCTGCTCGATGGCCTGAAGGCCTTTGACATCAGCAGGAGCAACACTACAGCCTGCAGTATATGCGCAGACTCCGATCCCAAAATTCGTTACAAGCCGCTAGAATGGAGCTGCGATGCTTGTGTTGAGGCACGCGGGCATTCGCGTTCGGGATCATACCTTACGACACGCTCACACGCAGGGTTACGGAGCTGGTGCGTGCAAACTTACTGACTACGGTACTCCTGATATTGAGCGTGCTGGGCGGCCAGATATCATCCGAGTCAAAGTCTCCCTCGCTCCGCGTGTTTCCGTAGCCACAAACAAGCGAAATGAGGAAGGTTTAGCTGCTTAGCTGAGGTGGGTGCTAATTACGCACGTATGGAGGAGCGGGACCAGCCTGCAGGTGGATGGTTCGTCGACATTGAGAAACGGTCGTGCGGCTGTAACCGCTGGTTCGTATTTGGCGCTTGTGTACATGTGCTATACGCGCTGCGTATCACTGAATACGTGGACAGTTGCGGTCGCAGCATTCTCGGCAACAGGGAAAAAAGAAGACGCACCACGTTAGATGCACCCGACGGATGAGGTCGGCCGAGAAACTTGGGTCCGGCTTGGATCTATGTCTAACCCAGCACTTTCGATTGTGCCAGCAACAGTTCAGCGTTTGGGTAGTTCTCCTTAATAGATGTGGTTCGTTAACGTACACGCGCGGGTATAATGCGCCGCAACTCCGCATCTCTTCTTTTGCATGAATTTTTTTAAATAGCGAGCATATTCTTCTACAACTTGTTCTCGGTATGACCTAATGAGGTGAACTTACACGTATTAAATGAGGTGGGCTTAGACTTCTTAATTTGCCGCACACGCAATCTTCATATAATTTGGTTGCATTCATAATGCTACCAGTGTAGCTTGAAGAATCGTCGTCAGCTTGGTGCTGGGGCAAGAAAAATGCAAAATGAGACTTAAATGATGTACAAGCACCCAGGGTCTCTACAAACAAGAACAATCACTTCTCAAAGCAGAAAACGTATAAAGGAAAACTTACTTGGCTTTATACGTGTGCGAGATCATCGTAATGCCTTCTTATTTCCCCTAGTTTTCACCATTACCTTCCCAGCATCCGTCGCATGCGCATTTAAACCACCTCTCGTTGCCGTAATTAACCGTAATCTCAGCGCCTGCCTTCCCATCCTTAATCATCCGCACGAAGACCTACACGTTGCGCATGTTCTGCATCTCGACGAAGACAGCGTTTAGATCACAAGCATGGTTATTGAACCTAGTCATGGACCCTTTATTGACGGCCTCTACGTACACGATTTTTTTTGTCACCGACTTCGTATTGTAGAGAAATGTGTATCCACTATTCGGTTTGAGGGCTTGGTCGGGAAGGCATGCCACCTTTGCTGGCCACTCGCTGAGCTTTCCAGTGTACTCGCCTACAATGTCGCCGATGTCGAGAAAGGTGGTGGTGCACACACCCAGACCAACTCGGCCGGTGTCGAACACTTCAGCGTACCACGCACAATCGGAGCGTTACTGCAGCGTCCGTTCAGCTTGCAGCAGCTACGGGTAAAGTAAACGGCATCTTCTACGTTGTTGCAGCAGTCCCAGAAGCAATCCCCGACACAGCGGCACCTATGGAAAGAGCCGAGGTCGGGGAAGCGGATCCCATTCGTAATGCATTCGTCTATAGACTCCGGCCAGGACTGCTCGTGTAGCAACGCAAGCCCCTGTTGAACTGGCTCGTTGTACACAGGTCGTCGAACATGCAGGTTTGCTAGGCGACTCTTTATGCCAGGTAGCTTTAGAACATCCTTTATCTTCATAGCGGTAATGGAGTGTGCGTGGTGAATCTGCGTTCCAATCCGCGTTGCAGCGCACTTCGACTGGTGACGGCGCTTGCGAGAGCGGGGTACGCACCACAAACTTGCACGCCTTTTCGCCTGATGTCGGATCTCGACTCTGGCGAGCCGTGTCGGGATCGTAAGCATGTATTTCTCTGCTTTGAGGACCTCCTCGTCGGTGGGCCCAACGAACTTAGCAGAAGGTACGTTTTCCTCGCATGCAACATGTCCCTTGACAGCTGGTCCTTTGTCCTGGATGCAATGAAGCGGTTGATGTCCAGTCTGGGCGGTGCTAGACGTGATCTCGTCCCCCACGGTTGCCCCACGGTTGGCTCCGGGTCGTCTGACTACACGGAAAATGACGGCTCGTCGGTATCCCCACACGCACTACGCTCCTTGGATCCACCTGCATCGTTCTCACCCATCGCAGGAGCGCTATCGCCGGTGTGAAAGGTGTTAGAGTGCTTTTCATCGTTATGACTACCGCGTGGTCTGACGCCTGCTCCGACGACTGAGAGCTCTCCGTCACAAAATTCTCACACTCAGCGCGACTCTCTCGCATCGCAGAGTCTTCTGCACCGCGAATAATACCAGGTAACGCCTTACAGAAGACGTCGGATCGCAAACTAGCATTGCAGAGCGCAGCGCGGTGCCGTGTCGTGGTACCGGCGCCAGGGAAGAATGAAATTCTACTATTTGTGTGGTACCAGAAACCACACAGCTAAATACATTTGTTTGATATTCGCGAGACCACATTGCACGCCGGGGTAGGCATCGCCACGCGACAGCGAAGGGTTCGGGCTTCTCTGCAGACTGCAGAAGGGCGAGTTAAGCCTGCCAGTTTGCTGCTAGTGTGTTGGCAAATCGCTTTTGAGTTTGTGTGTTACTCAGATCTGTACGTGTGATCCTAACGTTTATTCCAATATTTGCTGCTAAACAACTAACAACTTTTGAGTCACATTGAAGTAACACACATTCTCCGAAACACGTAATGCATTTTGCTGACGCGGGTGCGTCAGCCCCATTAGCCCAGGGTCTCGGCCAATCAGAACGGCCCGGTCTGCTGCCCCGCTCCTGTCTTTTTTGTGCTGGAATCTTGTTGTGTTGGTCAAATCGGTTCGTGTAAAAATAAGGTTTTGTTTTCCTTATAGTGGTAGTCCACGCTTGGACTAGTAGTGGTACACCAATCAAGACAAGGCTTAATCCACCTAACCCTAATGTTGTCGGAGCGTGTGTTTGTGTTGAAGTTGGACCAGGCCCTTACAGTCCTAGCACTTTTGTTCGTGGTCCTCGTAAGAGAGACAACTACTCTTCTGGATGCAGTATTTGTCGGATTGAGTAAGACATACGGATTGGGTGCGATAGGCGTAATAAGTCTCAGTTTACAAAATATAGTACAATTATAATTTTTACCGATAAAATGCTCGGTTTTATCGGCGGAACTCGAGCTTTTTACGAGTGTTTCACTCGATCGGACACATACGGTACAGTACTGCACCGCCCTTAGTCCTTTGATTAACTTCCGGATGAGATGATCCTGAATCCAAATGAACAATTGTTTGTTTGCTAAAATCTGATTTTTATGCAAATCTTATATGGTCTACCTCCGCGAAAACGGGGTGCAGTACTGTGTACTGAAATTATGCTTTTACAACCGAGTGGGTCGTCTGTTATGATTAGTCCAGTAAAAATCGCCATGATGCACCATCATCATTGATGACGGCACGGTACACGAATGCAATACATGTAGGTATAATACATATACTGTACATGTAAGCAGGGATGGTAAGAAAATTTGAATTAGTTATTTCCCATTTAATAATAATGTAAAAACGATTAAAAAAATTCTTTTTATGTGCATAACATATTTTTTTGTCACATTCCCTCATTCACGCCGTACTTTTCAATGCCTATTCGAGCCTGTGCTACAATATCGGACTCAAAGCCAAGTGAGGATGAAGACTTTTACGCAGCTCATATTTACACAAAGCAAAACTATTGACGCTGTTTAATATCAAACCACGTTGATCACCTGTGCAGACAGTGCCACCAAGAGGATTAGCCTTTCACGTATCTGATCCAAGATACGTCGTCACATCCATAGAACTCACACATGTAGGTCCAGCCCAGTGCCGTGTTGTACCGGTAGTCGAACTGGAACAATCGATAAAGCAAAAAAACAGTGATAAAACTCTCTCGTATTTACTGTCAATAGCAGCACACGTACGTCGTCATTGCGAAGCTCGTCGTGCTTTGTAGTGGAGCGAAACATTTCGCCCATGTCGAGGTATCCAGGTGTTACGTGTTGCTGTCTGTACAGTCCTGGAGGCGACATATTGGTGTCGGCAAAGTCCACGAACACATACTACTGGTAGATTGGCGGGTGCTGCAATGTGTAGCGACCACATAAAAAGAAAAAAAATATTCTTAAATCTTTTTATCTCTAATAAAAATATTTAAATATTTTTCGATCATCCCTGTTGTATTTGTAAGCAGCGGAATCCTAAAAAGAAAACATTCGTAATCAAGATTTGCGCTATCCACTCGCAAGAGAAAGCAAATATGTAGTATACATATTACCAGTGTGTTCTCTAGCATCCTAGTAAAGACGCCGATGAGGATTGCAACCGCACCTCACTTCCCAAAACACTGGTAGCTCGGCAGCACTTCTGACCTCATTGGAAACGATGAGTTGCGTCCACGCGTTCGCGATTCTCCTCGCTTTACTTTTCTCCACCCATGCAACCATGATTGATCACGATAAAGTGCAGCCATTCGCTCAGCCCAACCCAGTCACAATCTCTGAAAAAGCTGCTGTCAAGTTCAAGCCTCAACTTCACATTGAAAGAGGCTGTGTTTCCTTTCCGGCTGTAAATGCTGCTGGCGAGCTCACCGGAGGACTCAAGGGAACAGGAGGGACGGGAGGCTGTACGAAAGCACCCCTGGGATCTCAAATATATGGTCGATCAGCATGGTATCAGGACAAATGGGCCATGCTTTTTGCTTGGTACTTCCCGAAAGGCTTCTCCTCTAGTGATCATTCAATCCGCCACTACTGGTCGAGTATGGTTCTGTGGCTTGACAATCCAGCACTGGATGCACCGACATTTCTCGGAGCGTCGCTGTCGCAACAGCTTCATAAGCCTCGAAAAATACTCTTCGGTCTCTATACGGCTGAACGGAAAGAGCCATACAGCAAGCAAACCGCTATTCCTCCAATGGGCTTCGTGGGGACCCAGGCAACTGTTGTGGGTCGAGTAAGTAGATGGCGGTATACCTACAATTACAGTGGTGGCTCGAATGTTTCTACCAGGATTTCTCAAACGTATACGAACAAGGGTGACCGGCTAGCACTAACCTTTGCGTTCCAAAACGGTGAATTCCAAGATCTCATCATGTGGGACCAAATGACGGACGCAGCACGCGCAGCTCTAAATTCAGCGGATTTTGGCGAGTCGAAGGTCCCCTTTAGCGATCAGAACTTTCAAACGACGCTGGGTCTTTCGTGGCCGTTTTAAGCCCAGTGAAAGTGATTCCATGACACAGCACAAAGGCTTTGAGCATAAACTTGTTCCGTTCATTCGATAAAAGAAAACGCTTTTTTTTTCTCAAATAGAACTTCAAAACAAAACAAAACAATTGTTAGAAACGTTTCTTATTTGGTAAGTTGCTCAAAAGAAACATGCACAGATAGTGCAGTTGCGACGTCAGAACAACACCAGGGTTCGCCAAAACCCAGCTTTTCGGATTTGAGTGGGTGGGTAATGAATTTTTTGTGGGTGGGTGGGATTAAAAAACTGGGTCTTATCTGTTGGATGACGCCATTTACACAATTGAAACAGCTGCGTAGGGCACAAGCACGCTCAAATGCAGTAAGTCGATTCCGAGGCTTTTGTTTCTTCCGTGGTGCTGTCTGACTCGAGCCACCTGTGCCGCCAGCTCGTCGTTCTGTCGTAGGAGGGTCGCTCATTTGAGCCAACAGTGGAAGGATCGCAGTCCAAACGAGAAATGGTACTGAAGTACCTGGTGCTAAAATTAAATAAATATTTTAGATTTTGCTCTAATAATAGTTGGTGACCCGGGTCACCGTTAATTGGTTCAATTATCAAAAAACTGTGTCACAGTATGGAGCGGTTACAGATGCTTTAGGGCGGTTAAAGAAAATATAGATATAATATGCATCTATATTATATTATAACCGAATTTTGGGGCGGTCCAAGGAAGAAATGTGCTCTAAGTGGCGGTTGGGGTAGCTCTTTTCAACTGGTTAACCGAAAACGGGTATTGTAGCAAATGACCCGCTTAAGGTGCCGGCGCACTGAAGATGCATGGGCGAAGACGCGACCGCATCGAGTGCCATGGCACTTTGCGTATTGCGTCAGCTCTATCGCTCTCACTTTATTTTTATAAGCCCAGAAAACCCAGCCTAAAAAAAGAGTGGGTGGGTGGGTCGTTCAAAATACCCAAACCCCAAAAATTCCAAAACCCATTTGTGAACACCGATGAGCACCGCAACCGGAGTGCTGTCTCAAGCGATTCGTGGCGGCTCCTACCGCTTCCTCCAGCGCCTGTTAACCTTTGCCGCCAACTCGCTAGTACTTCGCAAATTGCACCTTAATGTGACGGGCACTGTGACCGTCCGTCTGGAGCTGGCGCTGGCCTCCATCTTCCTCTTGCGCGACGGATTCCGCCTTGCATTCCTGCGCATGCCGTCACTCGACTCGAAAGCTCCCGGCAATGGAAAAGCTCACATACAGCAATTGGTGAACGTCGCGTGGCTGTCGACAGCCACCAGCTGGTCAGTAGCAGGACTGGTGCTCGTTTATTCTGCAGTTGGAAGCTCTTCGTCGACTTTGAAAGACGACGAGTCATTGAGCGGATACTCGACTGTGCTAGCGATGTACTGCGGTGCTGCGATGATCGAGGCGCTAGCAGAACCTATGTTCGTCTTAGCACATGCCAGTGTATTAGTAAGCTGGCAAGTGGCGGCTCAGAGTGCCGCTTTTTTGGTGCGAGCAGCGGTACAGTACATCGGCGTCGTCATACTGGAGCTGAGCTTAACGGCGTATGGATTCGCTGAGCTATCATACGCATTGACATTGCTGGCGATGTTCACAGTGTTCTTCTGGAGTCGAATCTATCGGAAATCGACCGGAGAGGACAAGTTCGCCTTGACAAGTATGAGGCAATTGCTGCCTGGCAAACCGGAAGGAGAAGTGGACTGGTGTCACCAGGAGTTAGTGACGTTATTAGTGCCACTAAGTGTGCAGAGTGGTGTCAAGTATCTCCTAGCCGAAGGAGACAAGTGGGTGCTCACAGGCTTCGCGTCACTGCAGCACATGGGGGTGTACGGCTTGGTGTCGAATCTCGGCTCTCTCGTGCCTCGGATTGTGTTTCTACCAATTGAAGAAGCCACCAAGACGATCTTCAGTAAACTAGCACTTGGTCAAAAGCAGAAGAGTTACGACAAGGACGATAGCAAGAAGAAGAGTCTGGCCGACGGACAGACACTACTGTTAGTCTTGCTCAAGCTCATGAATCTCGTGGGATTACTCTTCGTCTGCTTCGGTACTAGCTACGCGTACACGTTGGTACTACTATTATATGGAGTTGAGAAGGCGCTTCAAGGAGTGGGTGCTGCGTTGGCTGTTTACTGCGTTTACATCCCGTTCTTGGGGTTAAATGGCGTTTGTGAAGCTGTTGTACACGCCGTTGGAGACGACCACGAGTTGATGCGACTCAACAAACTTCTTGGCGTTTTCTTCGCCATCTACGCGTTCAGTGCGCTCGTGTTGATGCAGGTGCTCGACTGGGGAACCTTCGGACTCATCCTGGCCAACTGCGTCAACATGGCGTGTCGGATCTTGTACTGCTTGAAATTCCTGGCTTCGTACTTCCGTCCAGTCAGTGCAGCTGCCTATTCCAGCAACGGGGTGCTTAATGGAGTGGCGTTCTGGCGTCAATCGCTTCCACATCGGTTCGTTGTCGTCACTTTCTTCGCTTCTTTGGCAGTGACAGCAACCTCTCAGCGTCTGCTGCTGGCTTCAGAGTCGAAGTCACACTCGTTGATGCGACACGCACTGCATGTTGCTGTGGGGGTAGTCTGTTTTGGTGCAACGATTTTCACGCTGTACATCAAGGAGCGACATCTTTTAGGAGCTCAATTGAAGACCCTGCGAGGCCAAAGCAAGTCTCACAACGACTAGACAGGTAGAGACCAGAATGAAGCCATTAACATGGTTTTATTTGCACTCTCTATTTTCAAATGTTGCCTTGAAACGTCGACAAGTTGTCTGTAAAAATGAGCAGGCGGCAAGGATTCGGTGGCGCACTGCGAGCCAAGCAGGGGCCGCAGGAGACTGAGCAATCAAGGGCTGATGGCGGAATACAAGGCTTTGTAGCTAAACGCTCTCTTGACGAGGAACGAAAGCTAGTTCGTGAGCAGCTTAAACAGGTGAGTATCATTTCTTTCTTCGCTTCAGCTCAAGATGTTGACCATCATCGATGTAGATACCTCTTGGACCAGCTATAAGGCATACGAGCCATCGTTTACTAATGAATTGAATCGGTTAGTTAATATGTTTTTACAGTATAGCAGAGCTGCGTAACTCGTAATTAAGAAGATGTACTTCTTAGCGAGCTAGCTCAACACGTCGAAGACGAAGTGTTAGACAAGCTGGTAGCCGTCCAAGACCGACTGGAAAAGATTCGGACACAACGGGAAAGCTCTGGTGTTCTACCAACTACCACGTTGGAGACGCTGCTACAGAGTCGCTTGGTAGTCGAGGCTAAGCGCAAAGTAGTTCCTGCACAAATCGCGGAAAACGTACGACGCTTTTCCCTACCTTAAGACCATGTTGCTGGCATCTAATGGTCGTGTTACTCTTCAGACTATAGCTGCAATGCGAGCCGCCACCTTGAGCGTATCATCACAAAACGAGAATCGAGTCTCGAGTGCTACGGGACTAAGCAACCGTCAGTCTACCTCGGCATTCGCTTCTAACACCACCAACAATATGCCAAGAAAGCCCCGAGTAAAAACGAGCAGTATCATCTCGCCTCGACCACGTACAGTGAGCAATGATATCGACGTATACCGAATGAGGCGTAGGAAGAGCTCTGCGATAAATTACTCACTTGATACCGACAGCACTGATGAAACCCAGAGTGACAATTACAGAGAGTCCTCTGAGACGCTGCTGTGCGTTCAGTTCCCAGCGTCTAGCGAAATCGCAGCTCCGAGTGGCAACAAAACCGAGGAGGATGAAGAGCAACACGCGCTTCGTTTTCGCTCACGCCCAGTGGCTCTTTCAGCGATCGACGATACCGCTGTAGTCACTACAAAGCGAGAGCCACAGCAACCACGTGTGCGCTACATCATGTCCACTCGACTTGGAGCGCTGCCGCCCACGAAGCACATCTTGGACGAGTATCCGATCCCTAAAGAAGTTCTGGACGCACTAGAGCGACATCGACATTTCCATGTGGACGACTCGTCTCCTCTGACTGCTTTCGAGCCCGTTCGACTACCTCCCCCTACTCCAACAGTGCTACACACTTCTACATGCACCAATGCCGAGTGCGAGTGCTTCTACAGACACTCGGTCCTTGTAGAACGCTCGCCAGCGTCGTTTGTACTATCTTCACTCGACGTGGCTCCTGAGAGGCCCCTCCCACCACCTAGCGACTTGTTTCATCAGCAACAACTCATTGCTGCTACAACGGATGATTCTATTTTACTACACGAAGTACGTCATCTGTATGACAGCACTCACAACGCTCACCGTGACTTTCGAGCAGGGCTTCATCGCCATCTCGACCTTCAGTATCTAGTAGATCTCTCGTTCCGAAGCTCATTAACCTCCTCGAGCTACTTTGTTGACGATGACGACAATGAAGAACATGGAGCAAATACACTTCCAAACGTACAGATTCCAGCTCACTTGCGTCGTCACCGAATCGTCAGCACTGCAGAGAGTGACGCTGGTACTTCTACCAAGTGGAAATTCCTACAAAACGGAGTGCATCGTATGGCTAACCGGCGCGGAGCTATCTCTATCGCTACGAAAAGCGAGGCGACAGTACGGGCCCAACGCAGTGACCTCCTTGTCCAGCTATGTACGTTAACTCCACAGGACGTTGAGTTTCTGTCACTGTGGTATGGCTTCAGTCCAGACGCAGAGGCGGAAGCTATAGCAGCAGCCACTAAAGACTGCGAAGGCGGCGTGCTTTTAGACCCAGTTCCCATGAATCCACATTGGAGCATTCGGTTCGAGTTGGCATGGAAGCAGTTGTCACTATCGACAAACGACCGGCTGGATTTGGCGATCAAATACTCATCGCTTGCGTATTCCACTCGTCTACCGGACGCTGTGACTCTGTGGGAGACTGCATGCGCTCTCATCACGGAGCATGAAGACTTGCTACGATTGATAAGATCGACTGTCGGAGGTCCTCGAAGACACGCTGGTGTCAGTCTTACTGAAGACACTGCTATGCTACAGGCTCTTATCGCTAGTGCCGATAACGTCCGCGAGATCCTGTTGCTTACATACACCGAAGTGGGGGATTTTGTCACGTATCATGGTGACTTCTACTTGACAAAAATGGAGCACGACGCAACCGAGATTCGGAGATTAATGGAAGAAGGCAACGACGCCAACGCTAACAAGCTTCAGTCTCCCATATAACGTGCATGAAGAGGATATCAACTGATGTGTGTGATCTTCTCTCGAGCACCACCTTTGCCGGCAATGCGATTTACGCTTTATACTAGCGTCAACGGGACCGAACCACATCGCCTTTCAGACGGACTTCTTTCGAGCAGCGGAGATTAGCGAGGCTCTTTCTGCTGGTGTATGGTTATCTTGTTTCTTGTGTGCTGTCTCGACAATCCTGCATCGCCTTTTTAATCCGAGTCCAGACTTCCGAAAACAACGTCACCAAGCCAAATCGATGCCCCTTTCTCTTGTCATCGTTGCTGGGTATAACTCCCACAAAGTACCCTTGACAGTCGCATAGTACTGGCTCACCACTTACGCGTTCGTCAGGCGTGAAACCTGTTGGGGATGAGAACGTCTCTGCAGCCATGATAACTCCTGCCTTTGAACCAAAAGCCACACAACAAGCGCGTAGCTGAGTCGATACGCCACGCCTATTTAGTGCGCAGCTCACAATCCCGGCCCCAAACCCAACAAAAGCAATAGGTGATAATCGTCAACAGGCGTTAAGAATGGAGAACGGACAACATTTTGAATGCGTAAGAGAGTCATATCCATCCACGATCTCTCTCTGTTGGCACACAATATATCCGTGACGTATTCACACTGAAATGTGGCGCCTAGCATACCAGTCGCCTTATAAACGCGACGATTATCCTTTCCGCGTGGTAGACTTGCTGTCAAAACGAATCCGTCATTCGAAATGAAGAAACCCGTCTGGAAGCCACAGTTGTCGGGAAGCTCCAGCTGCAACAAAGTACTTTCACTGACGCCATCATCTAAGTGTATCTTTATAGGCGATTAAGACAAAGCTGGGGTCAAAACTGGTGAGAATCTTCCACGTGTTATCTTACCTGTCTTCTTCCATCTGGTTTCACAGTGCTCATCAAATGTGACTTCTTGCTCATGATTTAGTTCTTCGGCGGGAAGGAAAAACGCTTGTCGAGAAAGAATGGCTGTCATTAAGCATCAATACCCCGAAAAATCTTCGGGTACTACAAGAATGACCTGAATAGTGATCAGGAAGCCCTATCTGTGACAGTGCGTCTGTCGTGGTCAATATGATCTTGAATAACTTGCCACTGGTCCGAGTGCTGTGTTGTCACGTAGAACCGAGCTTGTCCTTGATCCTGCGAATACATACGATCGAGGGAGAAGACAACTCCCACGAAACGGCGAGATTGAATAGCCATGACTGGACCGCCTGAAACGCCCATGTTGATGTTAGCAGTGCACAGTTGATCTGCAGCATTGAGACCGCCCGTTGTCATCCTTCGTGCACTAATATGACCGGTCGTGAGGTTAGGAACGTGCACCATACCGGGAGCAGCATCATTCAGACCAAAGCCAATAACAGCTACGGATGTGTCTTCGACAAATGCATTTTCAGGCTCCAAGAATACAAATGGGGTTGGATGGTCCACCTTCAGAATCGCCAAGTCTAGACCAGTAATATCTTGCACGTGTCGGCAGGTGACCCGTGCACCGCCTACAATTGTTGCATCACAATTGCCTTCCTCAGTGTTGTTGGCGCCTTTGATGACATGACGAGCTGTGAGAAGATAGCCGTCATCCGAAATAAAGAAGCCTGTCCCGTGGCAAGTGTTTCCAGGTGATGTGATGCGTAGGAGCGCCCTTGAGAACCGGTAATTCTCGCTTGGCGTACTTGATCGTCAGAGATGATTAGTCGGGATCCAGCAGCATCCAACAGGAGTCGGAGCAGCTCATTGTTTGTTTGGAGCTGCTGCAGGATGCGACGTTTAGTCCTTCCGAAGACCATGCTCGATCTTTGTTGAAAAATCAAGAATGACAGCTCACTCAAACATGCCGCGGGGGGGGGGGGCATATGCCGAGGATAAATCAACCTCGTATCCCTTCGATTACGCAGAATATTGGAACAATCCAGGGTTTGTGGTGGTCGTGGTAAAGGTAATGGGGGTTTCACTATCGTGGGAGCCCGGATCATTCAGCGTGTACGTGATCATACTGACTTATTGTTATTAATTTTTAGAACAGTAAGGAGATGGGACCTTAGGAGCACTGTTGGTACTTTAATATTTCCGCAGATCCAATCCTTATCTTTACTTGGAGGTTCTAGTCCTCTATCAGGTGCACTACTTAATAGAAATATTATTGGTCACTACCTTTGATTATATCAAGTAGTATTTTTTAAAGTTATAATCTACTGCGAGATGTTGGACCCGAGCGGTGATCACTCGCGCTCAACATCTCGCCAACAAAAAAACAAGACAATGAAACTTTTAGCTCTGTAGATACCGGTAGTGAGATTTAAATTAATCCAGCGTTGTATAAGAATAACTCGCCCAGCATGACAACCACTAATGACGGCAGCAATGTAAAGACCCGACAATTTACTAAACAGATATCGAGGCCGTCGAAAAGTCAACCGATGCTTAGAGATAGTTGTTAAATCCGCTCAGAATATTGTTTAAAGCTACACCATCCACGCGGTAGAGCTTTTTACAGCTGGTTCACTAATGGACGTATCTTGCCTTTCCACAAAACCATGGTTGAAGTACCGCCTGACATCAGGATAAAACAAAATCAATCTCATGGAAGCAATTGCAAGCTCAGGGTCTTGTCCACACAAGAATCTGAGGTGCACCCGAATCTGTTTTTTTTAAACTAATGCCGTGCTAAGCCCGGTGAAGCTCTGGATAATACGGTATTTTCAAAAAGTAATAACTAGTGCGGAATGAAGGACTTTTTGGAAGAAAAAAAAGGAGAAGAATTGCGATTTAGCTAAGACTTCCAGTCTTGAAGAAGACATCAACAAACCGAGCGAGAATGATAGTCATTCATTTGAGTGGCTATCCCCGAACATCGAAACTTGAAAACAAGTTGGTACCCTAACTTAAGAAAGTACTGTATTTTAAAGAAGACCTGTAACAATTTTTCCACAGCATTATGGTTTCTTAATCTGACCGACCCCATGCCCGGCTTACAGTAGCCTCGACATGTACATCGCTTTCCGTGAACCGTTTTCTTGTGGATGGAATCTCGGGTTGGGAGATCGAGAACTCGCTACCCTGTCACCCGAGCAGACGAAGGAACTCCCAGAGATGTCCTTTGATGAGAAAGCGGCCAATTTCTTTCGATTGTCGGTCTGGCAGAGAAAGAAGCGAGATGTGGAAGCTCAAGACATCACTGAAATCCCGGACGGAGAGATATTCGTCGAGCGGGGGACGGGACTAAACTTGTTCGAGAACAAGCTTGCCCAAGGAAATACAAACCGAATTGAAATGGTAACGAAAGTTTGTGACACTGACTCCGATATTGAGTGTACAGCTTCTGGTGCCAGCAGCAAAACCATCAACGACGCTCTGACCGACCAAGAGCTGCCTCAACCAACCCCACGCAAGAAGAGCCGACATGGAAGAGAACTTCAGACACCTCCTACCAGCCAAGCTCACACCACCCCTCCGCTGGTGACGCCGGAAACGAAAGTCGCGGCGTCGAAGAAGGCATAAACGGAGGCGTCTACAGTGCCTTAAGCATAGGCATATGCTGATAGGGATCTGCATTTGGTTTGGACGCTCGGGTGCTTTACTTGTTATGCAATAATAAAGTACCATCCCTCCCTTTAGAATACCCGACGTGGTAATTCGTTTTCTTCCTCTGATGTGTGTGTGTGTGTGTGTGTGTGTGTGTGTGTGTGCGTGCGTGTGTGTGTGAGTGTGTGTGTGAGAAGGAGGGGGCTTTACGCGTTACGTCGTAAGGTTGATGTGAATGAGGATACAGTTTAGCCAAAATGAAGAAGCCGCGGTCGAACGTGCGTTGTCGTCCGACCTTGCTGTCTTGACGCGAGACGGCCTCGATAGGAATCCATTTGTTATTCATCTATTTCCTTCTTTAAATCATGTAGCCTTCATGTACATGTACCACCCACCATCGGTGGTATCGTTTATTGGAGCAACATCCACCTAGAACCAGATAGCGTGAATGTTGACCCAGGCGGCTTGGAACGACATTCACCAGTTCTTTTTATGCTTTACCGTAGTTTATTAGGTATTCCGTCCTTTTAGCCTATTACTTGCAAACCACTATACTTTTAATAATTACAAATGTTGCACCCTAATATTTTATAGAGGAGATCGTCGACGGTTTTCGATCGCCCCTAAAACTCTGGATATGAATATCCAGAGAATTTGGCGGGTCATGTGACAGTTCACGTAATGGCCAAAACGTTTAGGTGATCATCGAAAACCTGACACGCAGCACTAGTGCAGAGATTGGCGAGGATATTACCGAATATCCTTAGGTATGCAATACACCGGAGTATAGATGCGGTTAACACTACTTCGGAGGCCGAAACCTTTTTTAATTTGAAGTATTCTGCAGCATTTTTCCTAATATTTGTAAATATCGGGATAGGGCTCCCCCCTTAGATGGACCTAAGATCCATTCACAACCGCATGCGACGAAGTATAAATTAGATGCTCGTGCGGCGCCTTCGACGCATGTGGCTGTTAGCGGCCTTTTCACGGTGTGTCCTATCCCGATATTTACAAACATCAAGTGTAAAAATCCAAAAATTAAAAAAGTCGGCTTCCGTCCTGGAGGAGCTAAATTTGAATGTTTGTGTTAATTTTCGTTTTACACGCGCATGCCAGAATTCCAATCGGACTACATGATTATTTCGACTAATGAAACTTAAAATCTACTATCCGCTTCAAATTTGCAGCCCTTAAGTATTTATAAAATTGAGCATAATTTGCCCGCAAAGCCAATACACTAGATTACAAGTACTGGCAGCGTTCAGGTTGTGCATTATGTCAAAAAAAAACTCACATACTAGTAGTTCAATGGTGAAATTCCAATGGCACATCTCAACATACGTTGTGGCTCCAATCAGAGCACACAAGGGAAATGGTAGGGGCATCTGGTCGCATTTACGGAATGCGCATGGTGCTGAAGCTTTCAGTACCGTCGTCGGCAGTGTGAACACG